AGGGAAAGTGGGAGGGGTAGGAGAAAGGAAATAAGGGAAAAGAAATAATATGAGAAAAGGAAAAAATGGAAACAAAGTCTTTGCAAATCGGGAAGGGTGGAGGGGGTGAAGGGAGGGCAGGGGAAGGGGGAAAAATATAAGAACTGAGATACTCATGTAATGGTACAAGATCCCAATGATGAATGTAATTGTATTTTATACCCAAAATGTATCAAGAAACATAAAGGGAAAAAAATAAGAAGTATCAGTAATAACTAAAAGTGGCTTGATTCTAGTCAAGAGTTTTTAGGAAACATCATACTGGTAGGCCAAATTCAAAATGTCATCACGAAACATTTCAGTAAATAATGAGTAAAAAAGGTGTCTGGCAACATTCAGATAGAAATGATTCCTATTCAGGCATTAATCCTGCAACAGAATTTCAAACCCTTGGCCAATGCATCGAAGCCCTGGTCTATGGCTAAGTATTTAAGCTCTGGCTCTGGAGGAAAGAAGTTCCTGTCTGCCAGTTTCCCCTGTGGAAATCCTCCCTGCAGGCCACTTCAAGCTAAGGATTGGCTCTCAGCAGCCAGGCCAGGCCACCACACCACCCAGGTGTGAAGCCGGAATCGAAATGGCTCAGCTCTGCCTGTTCTCAGGGAAGCCAGGGGCAGCCTTGGGTGGAAAGCACAGGCACAGCGGGCACACAGTTGGCACGCCCGAATCCCAGCAGGGGACGGAGGCCGGAGGACCATGAAGAGCTCTGGGCCAGCCGGCTACCGCGGAAGGCCTGGCTTCAGACAAAGAGGACAAGCGAGCACACACGGATGGGCAGGAAGATGACTGGCGGGAAGGTCAGGCCGTGCTGCCCTTACCCACAACCCTGCCAGAACCCCTTTCCTGCACGAGGCGGCGGCCCAGACCTGGCCCTCACGTCTCCTTCTTCCAGGGACCACGCTGTGTGAAGACACATGCTGGACGTTATCAGGCTGCAGGGCTCTCGAGTTCTCTGTCCGTTCCACTTTCTATTCCACCAAGGAATAACGGTGTTTTCTCCTAGGCATCCTCATAAAACTTCTGCCCTCTCCCTTTTATCAGCAAACCCTTCACCTATGCTAAATCTCCAACTAATTGCATACATGCTCTATGAATGAGAAGGAAAAAGTTCTCCATTTAATTTGCTTACTTACTTTTTCATTTGGAATCAGAAGAGCCAAGCTCTTGGGAATACCCTTTGGAAGACTGCAGGAAAATCAAAACACACTCCGTCACTTCTATCTCTGAAGTGTAGGCCTCTACATTACTTCGCAGCAGAAACCCCTCACTCAGCAAAGTAGAGTTTTCTAAAAGGCAGAGTTTATCAATGAAAATAAATTGCATGACCTATTTCTCCATTCCTTCACAATGCTGCACTTTGAAGCTCCTTAATTGCTGAAAGACAAGTTGTTGAATGTGATATTCAGCAACTCTACAACCTCTCTATAGGCTTCACTTTTTTAAAATAACATCAAGGTACTTCAATAACTGAAACATAAAAAGAAAGAAACTGCTGTGAGATGAGTGCCATGGATGGCTGGCGGGGAAGGCAGCAAAACAGTACGAATGCCCTTGGTACCAATGAACCATGCACTGCAAGTGGTTAAGATGTCAAACTCAAGTACTGTTCGTTTCAAACAGTTAATAAAAGCTTTTAATTTAGAAGAAACTATTAAAGAGAAATTCTTCACTCTGCCCTCCACCATTTCAAACAAGAGAATAAACAGATTTTTAACACTCTGGTTGTGTTATTGCTCAGACATCAGACACAGGAACAGCAGGTACTGAGAAGGCTGCACGGATTCTGCTGGACACCAACACGCACACTCACTCCTGCCAGGGTTCTCATGTTCACAGGGCTGGTACAAAGACGTTATAGTGTAATCAGGGAAATGGACAGTCAGAAAGCTGAGACATACTGCACTCTTTGCCTCTCACGGGGTCGGGCAGGCCGGAGCAGTCCACGGCAGAGTTGGGAATGGCGACCCTCCACCTGGAGCCGCTGCTGTCGCACTCCGTGTACTCAAAGTGGTAATCTTTCTGCAAACAAGCAGAGACAAGCTTTGTTAGAGCCAGTTCTTGGGGGACTACCGTGCGGTCCTCGTCATCCCCAGGGCCTGCAGCCAGACTTCATGACCCACAACCCGATCCCAGCCCATCTGCCCAAGCAGTCACCAACAAAACACCATCAAGCTAGGCACAGAGGAGACACCAAGGACCCGAGGGGAAGGACAGCCAACACTCTGCTGAGTTGTGACCATGGTCCTGCAGTGCCGTCTACCCACAAAGGCCACAACATGCTTCCCTGTCTGTCACAGACTTTGAAAGCTCTAAGCAACTGACACATGTGATTTGAAGAGCAAAATAACGCTAGGAAACTGACTGCTTTACTGCCCTAAGTGTCCCAAAGAAAGAGGAGAATCATTCCCACAGACCTCATTCTCACTGTAAAATGTAACAGAAGGTGTAATAACTACTCCACTACTACACAGCACAAGTTTTCTAAGGAGCCCTCCCAGACTTAATTCCCACCCTCCACAGCTGCCTGCCACCAGGCACAGGTCATTAACATAGACCATTTATTACAGCCGCCCATGAAGACCAGGCTAGTCATCTCTGGCCTTTGGGCTGTGCCGTTTTCACAGTCCTCTCCTCCGGTCACAGGACATTACCTTTGACCCATGATGAACGGAGAGGAACCCGGATGAAACGCTGAAGGAGCGTTCCAAGAAGGAGGGAACCTCTGTATCTGCCCAGAGATATTCTCAGCCTGAGACCCCACTGATGTCATTCAATGCCCCATGTGTTGCTAGGCTGCTCCATCCACATTGCTCAGCCTCGATTACTGTGTTCACAGCACCTGAGAGTGGAAGGATCAGGTTCGATCACCGGGGGAATTTGACGGGGAAAGGCTGCTCCTCGGGGCCCTTTCCCCGCAGCACACTTCCCTAACAACAAATTTCCTATCATCTTCCGCAATCTGCATAAGCTGAGAGTTTCCCAAACCATCAGCTCTCGGTTTTTGCTTTTTGCATCAGCTGTTTCTTTTTGTTTAACAGCTCTTCCCTGGATGTATCTCTCTTCTCACTTTTACTATAAGCAGTAAGGAGAAATTAGGCCACACCTTCAACACGTCATTAGAAAAATCTCCTCAGCGAAACTCTCAAATTCATCACTGATGAATTTGCTTTCCACACAACCACAGTACATGATTCTGCTAAGCCTCCTGCCACTATAGAACAAGAATCACCTTTCTCCAATTTGTGATGACAAATCCCTCACTTCCTCCTGAGCCCTCACTAGGACTGCTTTTACTATTTCTAAGAACATTCTACTGGTGACAATTTACCTATCATCTGAGACCACACAGGTATTTTCTACCGTGCTCTTCCCTGTTCCTGAATGCTAACAGTCTTTTACATCCCTCCTTTTACCAACAGTCTGCTCAACACAGTCTAGGCTTTTCTACCAGGTACCCCAAAATTCTCCCAGCCTCCACTCACTACCCAATTGTAAAGCCAATTGCCCACATGCAGGCGTTTGGTGCAGCAGCACACTGTTATGGCTGAGGTCTAGTTGTCCCGAGAGCCTCACATGCTCGTAGGCAGGGCTTCTGGGAGACGACTGGATCGTGGGGCTCATAGCTGACTTGCTATTAGGAGGCTGGGTCTGTTCAGAAGAGGCAGTCATCGGGGGTGTAGCCTGCGAGGGTTTACCTCCCTTCCCCACGCTTCCCAGCCATGATGACATGAGCAGCTTTTCCTCTGCCAGACCAGCAGAACATGGACTGAAATGTGAGCCAAAATAAGCTTCTCCTCCTTTAAATTGGGAGTGTCAGGTATTGTGTCTTAGGAACAAGAAAAGTGACTAAGATTTTGGTATCAAAAAGTGGGGTCATTGCTGTGACACTACCTGATCTTATGTTGCAGAAGTCTTTGGAACTGATTTGCAGGAAAAGTTTGGAAAGGTTCAGAGATGCCACCTGGAGAAGCAGCCAAAGAACGCTAAAAGCAGAGCTTTATGGGACTCTGGTCAGAGTTCGGAAGACCAGAATGCTGACTAAAAGGCAGAGGGTAAGGACCAAGCTCAGGAGGTTCCAGCTCACAATAAGGACTCCGTTAGCAGTTAGACTCAAGGTCCTGTGTGTTATGCACTAGCAGAAAACTTGTTCACATTCTGCTCGTATTCTGAGACTTTTTGAGAGACTGATTAAGGGCAGCAAATGAATTAATTTGGTGGAGGAAATTTCAAGGGAAACCAACATTCAGGCTATGGCATGGGCAGTGTTGAAAGCTTTTAGCCAGCTCTACATTGAAAATCAAGAGCAGGGGCTGGGGATTTATAGCTCAGTGGTTCCACCGAATAAGGTCCAAAGTTTGATGACCGGTACGAGAGAGAGAGAGAGAGAGAGAGAGAGAGAGAGAGAGAGAGAGAGAATCAAGAGCAAAAGGCACAGGTTGGTGATTCTAATATTTTTGAGTTTCACCAGAAAGGAAACTCCTATAAAGTTGGCACCAGCAAAGATGAAGCCGAGGAGAGCTTGGTCACTGCAAAATTAGCATTAATAAACCAAATTACTCTGGAACAGGACGAGGGCATTTAAGGAATCAGCATGACCCCTCTCTCCAGAAGCCCAAGGGAATAAGACTGTAAGATTTTGAGAACATAGCCTAAGGACATCCTGCTCAAGAAGGGCCGCCTACAGAATTAGCTCCCCAAGGATTCCGTTCACAGTGTTCCACCTCTGCAGCCACCATTCAAGGGGGCCCAGCTACTACTAGAGCTGGCAGAAGACCCTGGGGTCATCCATGTGGTGCTGGTTTTACAGGCATGCAGAATGCAACAGTTGTGGGATCAGGAAGGCTTCCACCTAGACTTCGGAAGAAAGCTTAGGAGGCCAGAGAGTGTGCTTCTAAGAGAGCAGTGCATGAAGTTATTAGAGCGAAGCCAAAGGTGCAGTGGAAGCCCCGGGAAATTGGAAACACTAGGAACATAGAAAATCTTAGGAAAGCCACAAGGAGTGAGCAAAGCCAGCCCAAGAGAAAGGCCATGAGAGCTACAATCACAGGCAATGCCATAGGGGTGGGGCTGCCCAAGCCTTTTGGCGTTCACATCTGGCCACAGCTTGCCCTGGGTGCTAGACGTGGATCTACAGGATTCATTGTTTGCCCTGCTGGATTTCAGTCATCCTTTGATCTCGCTGCTTTCTACCCACCTATTGCTCCCTTTTGGAATGGGAATGCTTTTCCCGAGCCATTGTATGTTGGCAATGTTTAACTTTCTTTTCATAGCTCATAGCTATGAGGCTCATAGCTAAAAATTTGCTTCACATCTCAGAGGACCCTTTGGATTTGTACTTTTCAGCGCCGCAGGAACTGTTAGGACTTTGGTAACCCTTAGAGATAGACTAAATGCATTTTGCATTTGGGATATGCATGAGTCTCTTAGGGATGAAGGGTGGAATGTTATGGTTTGTATCTAGACATCCAAGAGCTTCAAATGCTCATTGATGAGGCTCATTGATGACTGGACTGTGGAGGCATATACCTGACTTGCTGTTAAGAGAAGAGGTGGATCACTGGGGGTGTGTGGCCTAGAAGGATTAGCCTCCCTTCCCAGCTCCTCCCTTGACACACTGCTTGTGAGTAGCTTTTCCTCTTCCGTGCCCTTCTGTTGTGCTGTCCTGCCTAGGAGCCAGCCAACTTTGGACTAAACTGTGAGCCAAAATAAACTTCTCCTTCCTTAAAGTTGTAAGTGTCAGATATTTTGTCCCAACAATGAGAAAAGTGACTAAATCAACTTCATTTCGAGATACCAAATAGTTGCTTATAGCAGCTGTGACAACAGCTGTTTACAACAGAAGCTTCTCTCAAAGCTCTACAGGCCTAAAATCCAAACACACTTCACTGGTCTGATCAGAGTATTGCCAGATATACTCTCTTGGGAGGCTCTGGGAAAAAATCCATTCCTAGACTCCGTTGCTTCCAGTGGCCACATTCCTTATGGCTTGGCTGCACCACTCCAATCTCTGCTTGGGTGGTCATAGTGCTTTCTCCTCCTCTTCTGAGTCCACTTAAGGTTTCAATTTACAACTTTCTTATTCCTCATGTAAAGCAACATTTACAGGTTCTAGAGATCAGGATTTGGATATCTTTTGTTTTGGAGGTCTGTTTTTCTTCTTTTGGGGAAGAAGCATTATTCAGCCTACTACAATCTCCCTTGGTAGAATAGATTGATGAGCCATTTCTTTGAAGAATGTTTCTCAGTACTGAATCTCTTTTTTTTTTTTTTTTTTTTGGTACTGGGGATCAAACACAGGTCCTTGTGCTTGCGAGGCAGGCAGTGGAACCATTGAGCTAAATCCCCGACCCTATCAGTACTGAATCTCAATACTGAATACCTGAATAACGCCTTCTTGTTTCTCCCATTCACAATTATTTGTATTAAGACGTCTCTCTTAATGTCACATTCTACTGAAAAGATCTTGGTCTCTCTTTGTAAAGTCTAGATTATGTCTTAGCATCATAGCAAAATAATGATGCTGTGAAGTCTGACGTGAATTTCAAATGAAGCGAGGCTCTGAATAAAATAGGTAAGCACCAGAAAACCTCTTCCACCATGGACTCTGAGTTATTCAGGCTGCCAGTCTTGAGAATAAAAGTACCTGGAAAAAGGATTGTTTTTTGTGGCTGTAATGTTGGATGTCACATGCAAATTAATTTTCTAAATTTTTCTAATCCCATTCACCTCTTTTAGATTACCCAATGACTCCAAAGGGCCATAGCTACTGTTGCTACCAAACCCTTAGGATGTCAGCAGGAGCTTTAATGTGTCTCTTAATTTATGATTTTAAAATACTGAAATGCAAAGCTATTTCATGCAGAGAGCAACATTGGGGGTCAGGGATTTAGACTATTTCCCAAGCCGAATGGGTTTATTTTAAATTATTTAATAGTGATTTTATCAAGAGTGGTAACAAGTAATAATTTCAAAAATCTGATTTTGAACACAAACCTTAAATACACAGATATATCTAAGAA